AGGGCCAAGTACAATGAATAGGATTTTAAGCAGCTGAAGGGGAAAAGGAAGGGGCCTGAAGCTGTTAGGAGTTGCGGGAGTTGAAGTCCAAAACACCTGGAGGGCCCAAGTTGGCCCAGGCCTGCTGTAGAATGGATGCCGCTTGATACTGTCCTCCCATCTCTGCACGTGGACAGGTCTTGCTGTGGTCATCCATTTCTCAGAAATATTAAAAATTGACTGGGTATTTTTGATTACAAGAGTGTCAGGCACTGAAAGAGTGGGTAGGCAGAAGCCTGTTAGAGTCAGTGGTCCAAAGCCAGTGTCGTCCTGAGGAGAATGTGTAGACCAAAGACTGTCAAGAGTCAGTGGGCCAAAGCTAGTGTCACCCTGAGGAGAGTGAGTAGGCCGAAGCCTGTTAGTGTCAGTGGGCAAAGCTAGTGTCATCCTGAGGGAAGTGAGTAGGCTGAAGCCTGTTAGAGACAGGGGGGCAAAGCTTGTGTCGCCCTGAGGAGAGTGTTTAGGCTGAAGCCTGTCAGAGTCAGTGGGTCGAAGCTAGTGTCACCCTGAGGAGAGTGTGTATCCTGAGGCCTGTCAGAGTCAGTGGGCCAAAGCTAGTGCCACCCTGAGGGGAGTGTTTAGGCTGAAGCCTGTCAGAGTCAGTGTGCCAAAGCTAGTGTCATCCTGAGGAGAGTGTGTAGGCCGAAGCCTGTCAGAGTCAGTGGGCCAAAGCTAGTGTCATCGTGAGGGGAGTGAGTAGGCCAAAGCTCGTTAAAGTCAGTGGGCCAAAGTTAGTYTCATCCTGACGAGAGTGTGTAGGCTGAAGCCTGTCAGAGTCAGTGGGCCAAAGCTAGTGTCATCCTGTGAGGAGGGTGTAGGCTAAAACCCGTCAGTGGGCCAAAGCTAGTGTCATCGTGAGGGGAGTGAGTAGGCCAAAGCTCGTTAGTCATTGGCCCAAAGCTCGTTAGAGTCAGTGGGCCAAAGCTAGTGTCATCCTGACCAGAATGAGTAGGCCAAAGCCTGTCAGAGTCAGTGGGCCAAAGCTAGTGTCGTCCTGAGAGGAGTGAGTAGGCCAAAGCCCGTCAGTCAGTGGGCCAAAGCTAGTGTCATTGTGAGGGGAGTGAATAGGCCAAAGCTCATTAGTCAGTGGGCCAAAGCTAGCATCGTCCTGAGGAGAGTTAGTAGGCCGAAGCCTATTAGAGTCAGTGGACCAAAGCTAGCATCGTCCTGAGGAGAGTTAGTAGGCCGAAGCCTGTCAGAGTCAGTGGACCAAAGCTAGTGTCATCATGAGGGGTGTGAGATAGACCTCTGTGTGAGGGAAGCCTCGTGTGAGAAAACTCCAGTATGAAGACTACTGCCTGTAAAGCTACTATGTATTTGTTTAATTGTGTTATGGAAAGCTAGTTCTTGTAAATGATGCAATCATATTATATTGCTATAACGACAAGCCTCCTATGGAAGAGATCACATTGTTCTGTGTGTTTTTGTTCTTTTTATCACTTTGGGCTCCTGGTGCTGGTCATGCTGCTGATAATAAGTTACTCTGCTGTGCATTTATGAGGAGGACCTTTTGTTTAGAAGCCCACTGTCCCAACATTTTCTTCCTAATTGATTGCTCCGCATTCCCAATAAATAACAATTTCTTTCCGGTCTCGTTTTTTCAGGCAGCTGGACAGAGCTGTCATGGCGGTGTGCAGGCCGAAGTTTGGAGTCCTCAGAGCATTGAGCCGGATCCTTCTGGCCCCTACTTGCACCCGTTCCTCCTCTTCCTCTCCAACGGCAAAAGAGCGCAGTTATTGGCAGTACCTCCGGCGCAAGGTCCTGAAGCCCCCCGTACCCCCTTTCAGCCGCGTCTGCCAAGTGGGGGACCCCGTTCTGCGCTCTCTGGCTTCCCCCGTGGAGCCTTCACAGGTCACAGGGGAGGAAGTGCAGGCTCTGATCCGGATGCTGGTGCGCCTGATGCGAAAGGAGCGGTGTGTGGCCCTCAGCGCCCCACAGGTGGGTGTCCCCCTCCGGATCTTTGTGGCTGAATACCCTCCAGGACTCTTGGAAGAGCACCCTTCGGATGTGCGCCAGGCCCGGCAGATGTCCCCCTTCCCCCTGAGGGTCTTCATCAACCCGACAATGCGGGTCCTCAACTCCCAGGTGGTCTCCCATCCGGAGGGCTGCCACAGCGTCCACGGCTTCTCTGCCTGCGTCCCAAGATTCCTGGCTGTCCAGGTCACAGGTGGGTCTGCATTGGCCTCCTAGGGAATCTGTGTAACATGCACAGATATCTATAACAACAAATACAAAAACTGCATGTTGCAAATCACAATTTCTATATTACAAGAAATTCTTCATTCAATGTAATGTGGGAGCATTAACATGATTAATTAGTAACAGTTTATAATTGAAAGATTGTTTATCAATATTTTGTCAACACAATGAAACTTAAGCTTCCAAAATCGCAACTACTATATACCAGGAGATTCTTCATAAGTACATGACATCTGAAATAGTAACTCAAATGGTTCTTGTGGGTTTTTTCGGGCTATAGGGCCATGTTCTAGAGCAGTGGTTCTCAACCTGTGGGTCCCCAGGTGTTTTGGCCTACAACTCCCAGAAATCCCAGTCTGCTTACCAGCTGTTAGGATTTCTGGAAGTTGAAGGCCAAAACATCTGGGGACCCATTGAGAACCACTGTTCTAGAGGCATTTCTCCTGACGTTTCGCCTGCATCTATGGCAAGCGTCCTCAGAAGTATTACAAATTAAAATATTAAAATTACAACAGCAAAACAGCAGAGAGGAAACAACCAGGCCCATCTTAACACCTCTCAACAAAAGATTTTCCCAGGCTCAGCCAGGCCTTCAAATGCTAATGAAGGTGGTCAGTTGAAACATTCACACCTAGCTCCAGCAGAGAAGAGCTCTTTGCCCCACCCTGGTCATTCCACAGATATATAAACCCATTGTCCTAATTCCAACAGACCTCACTACCTCTGAGGATGCTTGCCATAGATGCAGGCGAAACGTCAGGAGAAATGCCTCTAGAACATGGCCCTATAGCCCGAAAAAGCCCACAAGAACCTAGTGATTCCAGCCATGAAAGCCTTCGACAATACATCTTCCAATTGCTATTGGAGTCAGGTGGAGCCCGACCGACACAGTCAGCAATACATAGTAACTCAAATATTGTTAAATGCAATATAATGAGATTTCAGCTTCCAAGATAACAATTTCTATGTTGTAGAAGGTTCTTCATCAATATATAACGTCAGGAACAGTAACACAACAAGGTCTCCCGGGTTGTTCCCTTGTTTCGTAATTTTTTCCTCGGGTGTTATTCTTATTTATGATGCTTGAATTCACTAAATAAGAAATAAAGCAACACACAGACAATAGATATACTAAAATCCCCAAATTAACATAGTTTTGAAAAGGTTATTGATGCACACGCTTGACTACTTACATTCTAATTCGTGGCTATTGGCTCTGTTGTAAGTTCCTATCTGCATTTATAGCCTTTGGATCCACTAGATAGGAAATAGGACAATATATAAACAAAAAAGGTATATTAAAATGCCCAAACACCCCAATGTTTGGGGGGATTACAAAACCCATGTTTCTTCTAGGGAATCTGGCACTTAGAGTAATAGAATAATTGTGGAACGTGGCTCTATCACAGGCCTGGATGAACTTTGGCTCTCCCTCTGGCCCTTACCCCCAGCCACAATATAGTAATATATAATATTAATATTGTGCTATGGTAATAATATAATACACTGTATATACATACAATATTGATAATAATATTACAATGTAACACAATATAATACTACTACTAATAATACAATATCATAATTGTATATTATCTATTTTATGTAATATTAATATTGCAGTATAGTGGCATAGTACAATATAGTAATATATAATACTAATATTGTACTATGCTAATAATATAATATATTGTATACACATATAATATTGATAATATTATGTAATACAACATAATACTAATAATTGTATATTATCTGTTACATGTAATATTACTAATAATATTGCAGTATATTAGTATAGTACAATATAGTAATATATACTAATATTGTACTATGCTAATAATATATTGTATACACATAATATTGATATTATTATAATGTAATACAACATGATACTAATAATACAATCTAATAATTGTATATTATCTATTACATGTAATATTACTAATAATATTGCAGTATAGTAGTATAGTACAATATAGTAATTTTTTTATCGTGTCAGGAGCGACTTGAGAAACTGCAAGTCACTTCTGGTGTGAGAGAATTGGCTGTCTGCAAGGACGTTGCCCAGGGGACGCCCAGATGATTTGATGTTTTTATCATCCTTGTGGGAGGCTTCTCTCATGTCCCCGCATGAGGAGCTGGAGCTGATAGAGGGAGCTCATCCACCTCTCCCCAGATTCGAACCTGCGACCTGTTGGTCTTCAGTCCTGCTGGCACAGGGGTTTAACCCACTGCGCCACTGGGGGCTCCATAATATAGTAATATATAATACTAATATTGTGCTATGCTAATAATATATTGTATACACATATAATATTGATAATATAATGTAATACAATATAATAATTGTATATTATATATTACATGTAATATTACTAATAATATTGCAGTATAGTGGCATTGACTTTGACATTTGGGAGTTGTAGTTTCTGGGATTTATAGTTCACCTACAATCAAAGAGCATTCTGAACCTCATCAATGATAGAATTGGAATAAACTTCTCACACAAAACCCCCATGACCAACAGAAAATACTGTGTTTCCTGATGGACTTTGGCAACCCCTCTGACACACTCTTTGCGACACCCCCACCCCCCCGCCAGGGTCCCAACCATCAGATTGAGAAACGCTGCTCTAGAGCCAAAAACTTCTTTCTTCCTTGGCCCTGATCTCCTTGGGCAGATTCTGTTTCTCATCCTCATCCTTCCTGAGCATGAGTAAGCAACCGTGTCCCATTGGAGTTGTCTATTCTTGATTTAGGCTGGAACGAAGCGGGAGAAGAGTCCTCCTGGGAGGCCAGCGGGTGGGCAGCTCGCATCGTGCAGCATGAAATGGACCATCTGCAGGGAGTCCTCTACATCGACAGGATGGAGAGCAGGACCTTCACCAACGTGTGCTGGGCGGATGTCCGTGAGTGACTGGAGGTGGGTGGAGGCAGCCCTTTTTGCCCGGACTTTGGGTGTCTGGACGCAATTGAGAAAAGGGGCAGCAGAAGGAGAGACTGACCCTTACCCTTGAGTTCTGAAGTAAGTAGGGGCGATGGCAGGACGTCCTGTTGAAGCAATAAACCCTCAGTGAGACTGCAAGTTAAGCCTGGTGGGGGTCACACAGCAATGCCCATAAACCATAGCAGTGGGGTGGACTGGCTTTTGAGTCACAGCTCAAGCCCTTGGAAGAGCCAAATGGCGGTCTGGGCTGGTTCTGAAAAGACACTTCTAACAGAGTTAGCCTGCGCACATTTGCATGAACGCCTGGCAGGTTATATGCAAGGAGGAAAAATCTAGGCTTCCTTTGCAAAGCCCTGCGGGGGAACCTAATAAGGTGACAGTTACTTTAAAGCAGGCATGGGCAAACGTCAGCCCTCTGGGTGTTTTGGACTTCAACTCCCACAATTCTAGGAATTGTGGGAGTTGAAGTCCAAAAAACCCAGAGGGCTGAAGTTTGCCCATGCCTGCTTTAAAGTCAGTGATTGTGACAACACCTTCCTGGTCTGTTTTGTTTCCTGCACATCTTGCTTGCTGCTCTGCCTTCTTTCATCTATCCCTTTGTGTGCTACCCCTGCTTCATAGGGCTCGGATCTTTTACCCCAGATGAGATAAAATAATAAATTATGCCATTGCATTGTTTGGTGGGAAGTCTATATGAATATCTGTATAAATAACAATGTAAATATATGTTTGTTCAAAATCTTAAATCTCCCAAAATATTTGACCGATTGCTTTGAAATTTTGACACAACATAGCGTTCGAATAGGTGCACATTTTTATGTTTTCACAGTCCTACTATTATATAGATGTCACACCTTTGACAGGTAAAAATATGCTTTTTTCAAAAACAGCGCCATCTGCTGGACGTCAAAGCAACCCACGCTATACTACATATTTTACGATTATATTTCAATCTTTAAGAATGCATTGCTACATTGAATTTTTATAGATTTCGATTTAGTTTCGTTTTGATTTAATTGCGTTGAAAGAGGGCAGGATTGCGTCAAAAGCCAATCCACCCCACTGCCTTTGCCTTCTCCCCTCAATGCTGCTTCTCTGTCTCAGTTTGAAGTTGAGTCCACTCAGCCAGGCCTCTGTGGGAAGGTAAGGTAGGCCTTGCCTCTTGGGCTCTGTGTATTTATTTGGCTGCGTGGGCATGAGCATCGCACCCACTCCGTTGGGTTTCCCTAACTTCAACCTCCCCCTCCTTTTAAAAAGCCCGCACTGTCAATCAGTGTCTCATCTAAGGGGGGGGGGGCAGTCCTTCTTCCTTTCTTCCCTCCTCCAATGCCACCCCTGCCTTAAGGAATATTGCTATATGTTTATTATTTGCTTCATTAGGCCTCCTTTGGGTGCCCTGTGTCTTTCTTTAGGCCCCTTCCACACAGCTGTATACAATCCACATTGAACTGGGTTCCATAGCAGCCCGGACTCTAATAACACAGTTCAAAGTAGACATTGTGGATGGTCTGTCTTGATGTTTTGGGTTCTATGGCTATAAGGAAGGGCCCCAAGTCTACTCTGATATATAATCCACTACAAATCAGACATTACAGATGATCTGCCTTGATATTCTGAGTTGAAGACGTCCTCATTCTTCGCATTCCTATGATTCGAATGGATATGCCATTTCAATGTAAGAGATTGCAATTCCCAATTTGATTGGTGTTTCCAGTCACCATCAACAAAGCTCAGGGCCAATCTTTAGAACGGTGCCGTTTAGATCTAGACACGGATTGCTTCTCATATGTTGTGTGTTTGAGAGTCAGCAAACCAGACAGTCTCTATATCTGCACAGGCAGTGGAACAACAAATACTGTATACCCACAAGCATTGTGAAATTAAATATATTAGAAACCTGCTCTTTCACTTCACCAGACTGGGCCACAGCAACGCGTGGCTGAGGACAGCTAGTATATATATATAAAGGCAACAACTTCCAGGCCCTTGTTTCCAACACTTTTTATTACTTTCTAAACCGTCCCTCCCCAAACAGGCATTGATCTGTCTGAATCATCTACACAGGTCAAGGAACTGGAGGGGAGGGCTGAGCTCAGCCCTTAGTGGCCCCCTGTGCACTAGAAATCCCCCTCTCAGGCTCCGGTGAAGGCCGCAAACACATCTGCCAGGCCTTCCTCAGTAGTGCTAAGGCGGGACTAAAGCAGAGGATGGCATGAGGGGCGTGTGTTACGTGTTGCAGGGTGCCAAGCCAAATGGTTTGGGGGAGCAAAACTATCGCCAGGAATAGGGAGGGAGTGCAAGTGGCGCGAAGATAAGAAATCCATCTCTGGGGAGGAAATGAGGGCCTGCAGAGAGGAAGCGGGGAAGGAGACGGTCCCTCCCTCCAGACACAAGTCCCTGGGCAAGACTCGTGCCAACCATTTGCTGGGATGCAGGTGGCATTCCTGCCCCATCCAGGCCAGCATCCTTCCCAGAAAAAGTAGGAGGAGCAGCAGCCCAAGAAAGGAAGATCTTGCTGATCTTGCATCCTTCCAGTCTCTGTTTGCAGCTCGGCAGGATGGAGGAGTCCAGACACAGCGTTCTCCTGCAGCCAGAAGGGAAGCCATGCAAGTGGCCACCACAGAAGGGAAGGAAGGCAGCTGAGCCGCTCCGGATCTTGGGTCCAAGTTTCTGGTGGGATGGGGAGAGAGGTCTCCCTGCTTTGTATTCATCTCCTGGCAGATGAGAGAAGTAGCCTCAGAAGAGTCGCCTGATACACTTTGTTCCTTTGAGGCACCAGTCGAGAGAGACAGCCAGGCCTCAGGAAAAGGGCTGTGGACCGGTGGCAGGTTCGGGCTGTGTTTTTATTCATATGGACACAAAACCAAGCAGCAGTAATTAAAAGTAAAGGAAAAAAAACAGCAACCATAAAGGAGGTGGAGATGTCCTGAAAAGGGTGGGGAGGGGAAGGGGCCTTGGCGTCCATTGCGCAGAACGGCCCCCAAGGTTGTAGTGCTGTCTCTTCCGTCTCTCCAAAAACCAGGCCCCCAAAGTGTAGACGGGCAGAGCGCCAAGTCAGGGGCAAAGCTCAGCTTGGCATGGCTGGCCACCGGCACAAAAGGGCTCTTCCTTTTCTCTGTGGCGAAACGGCCCAGCGATCGCTAGCCCTCCTGGCCAAAGTCTTCTGTGAACTTCTTGACCTTGAGGAGGTCCTCTGCATTGACGGTGGGGCGGGTGGTGGCCAGCGAGCGCAGCATGTCCGACTGCAAGGGGTAGAGAAGGAGAGTTTGGGGAGGCTCTTGTGAGGCACAGTCCCACCCAAACTGTTCTCCAGAGACCTGGGCATCCCCACGCTTGCACCATGGACACCTGCCCTGGTCACTGATTAGATTCCAAGGCAGGGAAGATGGGGGTCCCAGGGAAGGCGGGCCTGCAAGCGTTCTCACTCACCATGCAGACCACAGGTTCCAGGAGCTTGTCCCCTGGCACCTCCATCCAGGTCATCTCAATGGCACCAGGATCCCCCGGAGAACATGGAGTTAGCAGATCATCCACCATTACACCAGGAGTCGTGCGGGAGGGGCCGCGGACCTGCAATGAGGACACAGATGTGGACAGGGGTCTCTTCAGGGGACTGAACAGAAATGCAGCATAACACACACTGTGTTGCCGAAGGCTTTCATGGTCAGAATCATTGGGTTGCATTGAGTTTTCCAGGCTGTATGGTCATGTTCCAGAAGCATTCCCTCCTGATGTTTTGCCTGCATCTATGGCAGGCATCCTCAGAGGTGGTGAGATCTGCTGGAAACGAAGAAAATGAAGTTTATATATCTGTGGAATGTGGGAGAAAGAGCTTTTGTCTGTTGGGGGCAAGTGTGAATGCTCTCCTTTCGCGCTCTCTCCCCCCCCCTCCCCCCGTCATAAGCACGGTTGGTGGGGACGCGAGGGTATAAATACAGTAAATAAATGCTGCAATTGATAACCTTGTTTAACACTGAATAGCCTTGAAGCTTTAAGGCTTGACTGCTTCCTGCCTGGGGGAATCCTTTGTTGGGATGTGATTAGATGGCCTTGATTGTTTCTTGCCTAGAATTCCCCCGTTTCCAAGGAACAATCAGGGCCAGCTAATCACCAGCCAACAAAGGATTCCCCTAGGCAGGAAGTAGCCAGGCTTTGAAGCTGCAGTAATAGTAATAATAGTAGTAACAACAACAACTTTATTTTTGTACCTGCCACCATCTCCCTGAAGGGACTGGGGGCGGCTTACATGGGGACAAGCCCCAGTAAACATAATTTAAAATATAACACAGTAAGATTCATAAAACAACATCATAAAACAGTATAAAATAAACATCGAACAATTATTTTGAAAGTTGATTACAGTTTATTTTCTGGGAGTGTACAAGTGAATACAGAATATCAAACTGTAAAAGTGGATATTGCAAAAAAAAAAAAGCCTCCCCAAAGGATATCCAAGATCATGCAGATTCGTAAGACTATTAATTGCTAATCAAGGTGACCAATGGCAGCATTCAGACTTGCCTCCAACAGACAAAATGACCCTGGACATCATTCCAGATATATAAACCCATTTGCCTTGTTTCCAACAAACCTCACAATCTCTGAGGATGCCTGCCATAGATGTGGGCGAAACGTCAGGGGGGAATGCTTCTGGAACATGGCCACACAGCCCATAAAACTCACAGCAACCCAGTAACACATGTAGCTCCATGGACTCCAGGAAACTCACTCCTGCAGGAAGAACTCGGCTTGTGCTGCATTTCATACACATAATTCACATGGAAAGTGTAGCACAACACACACAAAATATGTTTTCCTTCATCCGTTCATTGCCTGAAGGGCCAACTCCCAGTTGGTGGGAGATGTATGAAGGGGAGCAGATTCCTTTTGGCCCCCAGAAATTCCTCAGGCCTTTCCCTGAGATAGCAGGGAAGTTCTGAGCCCAAAAGTAGAGGAGACAGGCCCAATGGGGGAGGGCCCACCAACGACAGCCAGGACCCATGGCCCCACTCCACCCCATGAAGCCAAGACCCCTCCCCTCCGCTCTGACCTTCTTGAAGTGGGTGGCCGACTGGACCTTGCGCACGGGCTGCATGAGGGCGTCACGCACAATGATACTGATGTCGGCCCCTGAGTAGCCGTCCGTCTTGTGGGCCAGTTCCTGGATGTTGGTGTCCGTTAGGCTGTGGGGTGTGTTGCCCAGGTGCAACTTGAACATCTGAGCCCGGGCTGGTTCCTCCGGGAGAGGGATGTAGATGCGCTTCTCAAACCTGGAGGAGGGGGAGGGGAGGGGAGGCAGCAGTGAAGAAGTTGTTGGGCGGTTAGGCTTATTAACAAAAGACCCCCCCCCCCTTAAATGTACAACACAGTAACTTAGCAGCAGCAGCAACGTGCCTCAGCACCAGTAGTCCAAAGTAATAAAAATAACAAAAACACACAGACCAATGTTAACTCTTCCTTTAGAGGCTTTTCTTTGTAGTAAAAAAAATATGGTTGCACTATTTACTAGAACTAGGTTTCCATGACACAAATACATAGTACCTTTACACACTGGAGCTTTCTCACACGAGGCTTCTCTCACACAGAGGTTCACCTCACACTCCTCAGGATGATTCTAGCTTTGGCTCACTGACTCCTAACAGGCTTTGGGCTACTCACTCTTTCAGTGCTTGAGTCACACTTTTGTAATTCACTGCTTGAATATCAAGCAAAAAATGGGCACTTGAAATAATATTGTACGGAAGCTGCCTGGCACAACCCGGGGATCACAATCAGACACAGTGAAGACATCTGCCCTTGTACTTTGCTACTATGCTGCTGAGTATGCATGCCCAGTGTGGAACACATCTCACTATGTTAAAACAGTGGATGTGACTCTTAGTGAGACCTGCCACATTATCACAGGATGTCTATCCCCCACACCACTGGAGAAATTACACTTTAGCTGGTATTGCACCATCTGACATCCGCCGGGAAGTAGCAGCCAGCAATGAAAGGACCAAGCATTGACACACCCTCTGTTTGGACATCAGCCAGCATGCCAATGCCTTAAATCAAGAAACAGCTTCCTGAGATCTACAAAGATACTTGCTGGAACACCTCAGCAAGCAAGAGTCCAAAAGAGGCAGGTTGAAATCCAAAACCTCAATCCATGGCTGATATGAAATGAGAAACACCCTCCTGGGCACACAGAAGACTGGATGACTTGAAAGACATTGAACAGACTGTGTTCTGGCACCACGAGATGCGGAGCCAACCTTAAGAAATGGGGCCACAAAGTGGAGTCCACAACATGTGAGTGCGGAGATGAGCAAACCACAGACCACTGATTACAATGCAACATGAGCCCTGCCACATGCACAATGGAGGACCTTCTCACAGCAACACCAGAAGCACTCCAAGTGGCCAGTTTCGGCTCAAAGGACATTTAGCATCATGCCAAGTGATTTTTTAAAAAAAAAAACTTTGCTTTTTAAAATGCATTTCAACTGTACCCTCAACTTGCTTCTGACACGATAAATAAATAAAAATAAATACTTTTGTAATCAAAAATACCTAGGCAATGTTTAATATTTCTGACAGAAAGCTCTCCAGAAAGAGGATAGGGGGAAGCTCCCCATGGCTCTTGGTTCTTGAAAGTTGGGGGGGGGGGGGCATTCAGAGCAGCCTGCATTCTGGTGCAAGGAAGAGAAGATTGATCTTAAAGCTAAGCAAAGTTAACCTTGGAAAGAGTTGTGTTTTGGTCAGGTTGGGCTTGCCTTGTGTTGGTTGAATTATAACAGCAAATAGGGCAGAAAGGCTTTAAACCCAACTCCAATGAATGAAACCCACCTTCGCCGAATGGCAGCGTCCAAGACCCAGGGGATGTTTGTGGCACCCAAGACCAGCGTCCCATCGTTATTGTTGCCGACACCTGTCAGGAAAGAAGCCATTGCTACTTCTAAGGCCCTGCTGGGAAAGGGATGTGCTGAGAGAACTGTCATCCATAATGCCCTCCCTTTGAAACACCTCCTGACATCCGCTGATGCCACCCACCCTGCATTTGCACCAGGAACTCTGTCTTGATCCGCCGTGCGGCTTCACTCTCGTTCTCATTTCGGGAGCCACACAGAGAGTCCACTTCATCGATGAAGATGATGGAGGGCTTGTGCTGCCTGGCCAGCTCAAAGAGGTTCTTCACCAACCTGCGGAGAGAGGAGAAGGTGGATGGGCGGTTCATGGCCACTGATGAACCTGGAAGGCTAGCCCCCAAACTGCGTCTTCAAGGACCTTTTGGCCTCTCCAGGTTATCTCCTGCAGACTGAGTAGTCACATCATTTTATGCTATTGTTCCCTCAACGTTCATGTCCCAGGAGTCCCCCCACCCCGTACGAAGGCTTATTCATTTTTCTGTCTCTCTCCGAGTTCTCCCCTACAAACAGCTCTGCCCCTTTATCTCACCCTGAGTTTTTAATCAGTTTTTAAAATCATTTTATGTACATTCGGCCCGCTCTGTCAATATGTTTAGTTTCTATGTTTTGTGTATATTGTTTATATGCTTTGATGTTTTATACTTTATTGTTATGTTGTTTATTTTACTGCAATTTCTATTTTTGTTTTGTAATTTGTTGTTCGGGCTTGGCCCCATGTAAGCCGCTCCGAGTCCCCGTTGGGGGAGATGGTGGCGGGGTATAAATAAAGATTATTATTATTATTAGGCAGAGGGCCTTCTCAATTGTAGCCCCTTATTTATGGAATGCCTTGCCAGTTGAAACCCGATCTATCCGAGACCTACTTGCTTTTCGGAAAGCCTGTAAAACCTTTCTCTTCCGACAAGCTTTTGATGGGTGAATAACTCGGGACTATGTCTGTTCTTGTTTTCATTGTATTTGAAAGTTAATTGTATTGTTTTAATCTACTGCTGTAAACCGTTCCGAGCCAAATTGGGAGCAGCGGTATACAACTCAAATAAATAAATAAATAAATATTATGAGGAAGAGGAGAAGAATGGTTGTGCCTCCCCATTTCACTCACTTCTCACTTTCCCCAAGCCACTTGGACATCAGGTCTGAAGAGGAGATGGAAAAGAAGGTAGAGTTGCTAGCTTCAGTGGCCACAGCTTTGGCCAGGTAGGACTTCCCTGTGCCCGGCGGGCCGAAGAGGAGGATCCCTCGCCATGGCGTGCGCTTTCCTGGTGTGAAAGAGGAGGAAATGGACTCAGCTGCCCCTCCCCAACAGGCATGGGGAGCTCCCTGTGGGAAGTAAGGTCCTCCTCCTCACCTGTGAACAAGTGGGGAAACTTGATAGGGAGGATGACGGCTTCCTTGAGGGCCTCCTTGGCCCCCTCTAGACCGGCCACGTCATTCCACCTCACATTGGGCTTCTCCATCACGATGGCACCTGTGGGGGACCAAGCAACAGTGTGAGTGTGGCTGCCTTTGGCTCTGGGAGGCTTTGACAGGATGGGGAAGGGAACACGGCTTACCCATCAGCTGCTCCTGCAGTTTCTTCTTCTCGGGATTGTCCCCTTCGCTGTCACTATCACTCCTGCAAAAGTTCATCAGCACAGAGAAGGGACACCTTAGTGCCTCATACCTTGCTGCCTTCTATAGGTCTGGCCCCAATTCCATGGGATGTTGCAAAACCTAAGGGCACTCTGACCCTCCTTGCCACTGGTGAGCCAACTCAATTGCAAGAAAGGGAGCCAAGCAGAAAGAGGCCATTGGACCAGAAGCTTCAGAGATTCAAGGGTGACTCTTAAGTATCTAAACCAGGCATGGGCAAACTTTGGGATATAAATAAAGATAATAATAATAATGTGTATATACACATCATCATCATTATTACACACAAGAATATACATATTTACATATTTACTGTATTTCTTCAGTTCTAAGGCACACTTTTAGGAATTGTGGGAGTTGGGAATTGTGGGAGTTGAAGTACAAAACACCAGGAGAGCCGAAGTTTGCCCATGCCTGCTCTAGACCAATGTTTGCCAAATCTTCCATGTGTTTTGGGCTTCTGCTCCCAGAATCTCTCCCGATTGCCCCCCCCCCCCCCGCGCTGATGACCGTCCGCACCCTTTGCCATCGTTCTGGGCTTCCTTGACGGGCTTCTTGCTCTGCTTCTCCTTGTTCCGCAGGTAGTCCTTCAACTTCTCGGCCCGGTCCAGGTACTGTGCGCACTTTGCCCGGATGCTCTCCTTGGCCTTGTCGCTGTGCGCGTCGTCTGCAAGGGAAGCAAAGCGGACCGTGAGAAAGAGGCCTCAACCCAGGCCCTCCCTCCCTCTTCGCTGGCTGCCATTTTGAGAAGGGCTTCTAGGGGAAAGGGAAGGAGATGGGCTCCTTGCCCTCCGGACTCACACTTGATGGCGTGCAGGAAGTACTCCACCGCATGCTGGTAGAGACGCAGGGCCTCCTCATAGTTCTTGGCCTTGTCCTCCTCCGTCGCTTTTGTGACCAAATCAATGGCTTTCTGGGAAAGGAAAGAAGGGAGTTTCAAAATGGGAGAGTTCAGGATCAGCTGAGAAGGCAACAGGAGTCTTCTTTTTCCTCCCAACAAGGTCTGTCTGTTTTGCTCTGGGCTCTTAATGTGGACTGGTGACTCCTCTGATACTGCCTTTTGAGTAGAATTATCAGGATTATCATCTTAATTATCATCATCATTAATATAACAATAATAATATTGTGTTGTCGAATAATTTCATGGCTGGTATCAATGGATTGCTGTGAGTTTTCTGGGCTGTCTGGCCATTTTCCAGAAGCGTTTTCTCCTGACATTTCACCCACATCTGTGACAGGCATCCTCAGAGGTTGAGGGGTCTGTTGGAAACGATGTGTGAGGTTTATATATCGGTGGAATGTCCAGAGTGGGGGAACAACCTCTAGTCTCCTTAAGGTACGTGTGAATGTTGCAATCTGCCGTCTTGATTTGCATTTTAATGGCCTGCAGTTTCAAGTCCTGGCTGATTGCTGCCTGGGAGAATCCTTTTTTGGGATGTGTTACCTGGCCATGATTGATTCTTAATTGGAAATCCCTTGCTTTTTGAGTCTTGCTCTTTATTTACTGTCCTGATTTTAGAGTTTTTTTAATACTGGTAGCTGGACTTTGTTTATTTTCATTGTTTCCTCCTTTTTTGTTGAAATTGTCCACATGCTTGTGGATTTCAATGGCTGCAACAAAGGATTTCCCCCAGGCAGCAACCAGCCAGGTGTTTTGATATTTTACCATCCTTATGGGAGGCTTCTCTCATGTCCCTGCATGGGGAGCTGGAGCTGACATCTGCGCTCTCCTCAGATTCAAACCTCTGACCTGTCGGCCATCAGTTCTGCTGGCACAAGTGTTTAACCCATTGTGCCACCGGCTGCTCTGGGTGCCCAAAGACATTAGAAGCAATTAAAAAATCAATTGCATATAAATAAATATCAAAAGAGAATTGAACCTGAAACTGTTAAAACAAATCACATAAAGCCATAAAAATGTTAAAGTAATTTTGCAAAATGGCAACGATGGGCAGGGAGGCAGCTATTAAGAAGCTTGCATAATAATGAAGTAAAATAACTGGTTTATTGGTAAAATTAAGATATTGCCTTTCATAAAATTGATGTGTTTTGGCCGCTCATTCAGTTTTTATAAAAGGAGGAGCTTCCAAGTCCTCAAGGGGAAGTGTCTCTTTCAATCCATGGACCACTGGTGGTCCGCAAGAACTAAAATACGGTCCATAGCCTCACCATTAATACACCGCTGCAACACCCCATGAACAATGTCCCCTTCCTTGTGGCTACGTGCTCATGGCGAGGAGGCCAGAGAAAGCCGTTAAGGTCCGTTTCTTGGGTCTTGTGCTCCACTTTTTGTATTTTTTTCAACCTCAGCCCCCTCCCCTTCTTCTTTTTTTTTTTTTTTTACACGACCGTTAACAAAATCTATGCATAATAACACAGCCCAACCAAAATATTTTTTTTCTTGGTCTTTGTTTTTAGGCCTGTTCCTGGCATGCTGATTCAGAAAATTGCACTGGATAGACCATATCAACTCTAGATTGTTAAATGTGGTTTTCTGTGGGCGAGCAGATGGTGACTACTGGATGGCATATGTTTTGTATCAGAAACTAGAGCTGATGTGGTCTATCCAATGCAGTTTTCTGAATGAGCAGCTCAAATAACCAAACCAAATCTAAAGTTGACCAAAAACTGATTCGTAACTGTCAGTGTATGATTTAATGTATGATGTGTGTGTTTAAATGTAATTTCATGCAGTAGAAATGTGGTTGCCATAAGTTTGTATTGCTAGGATGTATGTTTATATTAGAGGCTGTGAGAAAGTAACCCTGTGTGTAACTGTGAGGAAAATTAGGGAGTGTCTGATAGCTGCTAACCAACTGCAGTTTGTTTACGTCTCAGCTTCCTTTGTCCTGTGTGTTCTGTGTACTTCATGTCTGTTCGCTTACAGTAATGGTTGTGTTTTGGAACTGCTCTAAGTAAAATTGAACCTGCTTTATACCAGATGACTCCAGAGTCCATGTTTTCTTCTAAGCTTCTACAAAACTTCTGCTGACGCTAACAGTAACCCTTTTGGTAGTAATGTTGGAGAGTGGTCCCCGATCAAAAAAAGGTTGGGAACCACTGCTTTAAATCCAGCTTCTGTTTCTCCATTAAGTACTAAGGGGAGGCACCTGGGAACCTGTAAGAGTGTTCCAAACTGGGTTTTGGTCCTTTAGGAGAGTTTGCAAAGCTCTCTTGGCACAATTTTTAATTTCTCTTGGAACAACTGTTCCTTTCCTAAGTTCATCAGACATTAAACCAAGCAAGAATTTCTTCAGACTGGAAGGAAAGCACACTTCCAGGCCTCAAGAAGAAGAGAGGTACGTTTGCCAACACTTCACAAGGCTCTGAAATGTGTCAGGTTAAAAAAGAAACCTGGTTTACTCATAGCTTGGTTAACCAGTTAAAATTCTTGAGTAAACCAGGTTTGGGGGGGGATTCAGAACACTTTCGGGAGGGGTTAGAACCCTTAAACCCACCCCCCTCGGCTACAGCCCTGCCACCCTCCCATCCTTTCCCCAATTCATCCTATTTGTCTCCTTAATATACGATTCCTTTCCTTCCTATAGATAAACCCTCCTCCAGGTTAATGAATAAGTTTAAGGCTTATCTCGATTCGTTCTCCAGGGAGAAGAAAGCAGCCATTTTGGTCCCCAATACATATAACTGCATTGTATGTTTTGCATTTTAACAGGATAATTTCTTTGGCGAATGTTGAGTTTGGCATTTTATGTGTGTGTGTTTATATATATGTGTGTTTGTGCATGTAAGCATACATATGTATGTGTGTGTGTTGCTAGGGATGTTGTGGGTTTGATACTAACAACAATAGCAACAACAACAGAAATTGTATTTGTACATTTAAAATTTAGCTTTTCAATAAAATTTTGATTGTATTTTAACTTTGTAGTCATGACAGAAGTATTTAATTGTGGGGTTTAAAAAATGTATCTTATCTTGTATTTAAATTTTAATTGGATTGAGTCATTACAATGTTAGCTGCCTTAAGTCCCTATGGGGAGAATGATGGGATACAAACAAGAATAATAATAATAATAATAATAATAATAATAATAATGTGTATACACACATCATCAATATTATTGTTATTATATACAGTATGTAAACAGATAGATACACACAAGTATATACATATTTACATATTTACTGTATTTTTTCAGTTCTAAGGCACACTTTTTCCTCTCATAAACATACCTAAAAACAGGGTGCATCTTAAAATTGCAGGTGATATATATCTAAGTGTGTGTATATATATAGGGGGGGGGGAGAGGGAGAGAGAGAGACAGAGAAAACTTTCTTTTTCCCTGTTGGTCGTACTGAAATTAACTGTTTATGTATAGATGTATTTGTGCGTGTGTGTATATATATATATATAGGTAAAGGTTTTCCTCTGAGATTAAGTCCAGTCGTGTCCAACTCTGGGGGTTGATGCTCATCTACATTTCTAAGCTGAAGAGCCAGCATTGTCCGTAGACACCTCCAAAGTTATGTGACAGGCATGACTGTATGGAGCGCCGTGTACACACATATAGTGTGTATATAATAATAATCATCATAACAACTTTATTTATAGACCGCCGTATCTCCCCAAAGGGACTCAGGGCGGTTTACACACGAAAAGGCAAGCATTCAATGCCTCAGGTGAGTACAAATGTATCAAAATAATACACAATAATGCCTCCGTAATAACAGTGAGCTTACAAAATTAAGCATTGAAATGAAAAGTAAAACAAAGCAATGCAATAAAACATAGTTAACTACAACATAAGTAAACATTACAATAAATACTCTAAAAGCAATTTAAAATACAATTACATTACAAATGGCTGGCGCTGGTGTTCATTTAAAATGTATTGTGGCAGCCATATAGTACAAGTATGTGTGTGTGTGTGTGTGTATATATATATTGTGTGTGTGTGTGTCTGTGCCCATATCTGTGGAGTTTGTTTCCAAAAGGTGCCAAATCCACACATACACAAATTTGGAAAAATTAGTTGTTATTACTATTCTTCTTATCCTGTCAAATCCAGTCAGTGGGCATTCGAGAGCCAAAGGAGGCCTCATCCTCCGCATGTTTTCTTTTGCAAAATGTGTCAGATGGATTTGGAAACAAATTTCGGCACAGATTTGTGTGTAGAGATACACAGAGATAGAGAATACAGAATCTGTGTATGCTTGTGTGGCTCTGCATTGCCAGGCACTGCCCTTTGACGGCGCCATAGAAATAAGCAACAAACGGAGGAGGAAGGCCTTGGCTCACCTTCCCCGCTTCCCTTCCAGAGAAGGCCGCGAAGCCGGGGACTCGCGTAGACTGGCGGCCGGGGAAGGGGAGGGCCCGCGGGCGGGAGGTGGCCGGGTTGGTGACGGCCTTACCTGGAGGGCGGACGTTGTCATCGCATCTCCTCGCTGTTGCGCTGAAACAAAAGCAGAGCAAGGCCGCGGGAGCCTCCGGCGAAGCGGCGAAGGAAGGAGGCCTCACCGCCGAGGAAGAGCAGCAGCAGCGGCCCCCTGTGCCTTGGGACTACAGCTCCCAGGATGCTGCGCGGAGGGTGACGTCACTTCCCTTTCGCCCCCACGGGCTTCCGCTGCGCGGTTCAGAACATCAGCGCATGCGCGTAGTCTGGAGCAGCTACTAGGTAGCCTGACGCTTAGTGATGTTCTATGTCATACTCTGATTTTTGTTCCTGGGTTGTCAATATAATTTCCTAACCAGTTCTATCATCAAAGTATGGGAAAAGGTGATAAAACTGCAAAATCTTTGTCTTTGTCGAAGGGACATCATCCTGAAGCACAGATCATATTATATTATGTATGTTATATTATTATTATTATTATTATTATTATTACATTATGTAACCTGATTTGTTTTTGCTGGACATCCTGCAGTACATATTATATATTATATTATTATTATTATTATTATTATTACGTAACATGATTTGCTTTTGCAGGCCGTCCTGCAGCACATTATAATATATTACATTACATTATATTATGGTAACCAGTGGTGCAGTGGGTTAAACCGCTGAACTGCTAAATTTGCTGACTGAAAGGTCACAGGTTCGAACCAGGGGCGCTCCCATGAGCTCCTTTTGTTAGCTGCAGCTTCTGCCAACCTAGCAGTTCAAAAACATGCAAATGTGAGTAGATCAATAGGTACGGCTTCTGTGGGAAGGTAACGGTGCTCCATGCAGTCATGCCAGCCACATGACCTTGGAGTGTCGGCTTAGAAACGGAGATGAGCACCAACCCCCAGAGTCGGACACAACTGGACTTAATGTCAGGGGAAAACCTTTACCTTATTATTATTATTATATTACATTACATTGTGTAACATGATTTATTTTGCAGGAACATCCTGCAGCACATTACAATATATTACATTACATTATATTATTATAATTATTTATTATAATATTATTATTTACATTATATTATCATAACTATTTATATTATTTTATTGACACAAAAACACAGTATGTTGAAAGTCGAACACTTCCCAAGCGTATAAGATTGTGTGATATATTTTCGAATGATGTGCGCAGATCCAAGTAAGATGGCCTTTTGCAGTTGACAGATTGTGATTTTGTTTATTTATATTATTATTATTATTATTATTATTATTATTATTATTGTTGTTGTTGTATTATGTAATACAATTTGTTTTTGCAGGCCATCCTGCAGCACATTTTGCTCTAGTTTTTCAAGGAATATCTGATAGTCTCAACCAAATCAACACAAGATCATTCTTAACCCTACCAACGATAGAATTGGGCCAAAGTTTCTACAGAGAACCCCCACAAGCAACAGAAAATACTGTGTTTTCTGATAGTCTTTGGGATCCCGACCCCAGGTTGAGAAACACTGTTCTAGGCCATGATGGGGATTCATCTTTGTTTCTACTGGAAAGAAGGATGATGGGACTTGTAGCCAGACCTCCATTGGACTTCCTTGCCATTTTGAAAATGCAATTGTTCTTTTCCACTCTGACAAACATCAGAAGGCGACTCGAACTGTCAAAACACTTTTTATTATACACAAGATAAAGGCTAATAAGTTTGCCCTTAGTCACCGTTTCCATTGTAATGTACAATACTATACAGTTTTTGTGTTAACTCTGGGGCTGAGAAGGGCGTCCATAGGGTTGCCTTGAACTACTCTTCTTCTCGCCGCTTAGTTTTGACTCCAGCATTTGGGAGAGAGACAGAAAAAGAAGTCCTTCTTGTATATAAATACCATTTACAAAGAATACAAAAATAAAGTTGCTTGTACGTTTTCGAGGGAACTGTGGCAGTTAATACGGGGCTGTGCCTTTCTTTTTGCAATGCTCAGGGATAAATATATGATAAACCGCACACAGAGATAGAGAGACAGACAGACACACGCCTCTTTCACGCAGCATACAGACAGACAGGGAGCTGTAGTGGTTTCTGTGCAAAAAGGTCTCTGCACAAGGAAGCCTCCTCTTTGGCACTTCTGGGCTTCTCCAGTCGCGGAGGCCCAAACTGTAAACGCTCGACCTAGGAGGCCTTGCAAGGAGAAGCGGCCTCGGCTGCAGGACAAAGGGATAGTGCTGGCCAACCTTGGAAGCCCCACAGAGTATTTCAGAAAGGTCCAGAAGCAGGCCCCGGATCCCTCCGTTCCCTAATGGCAGGGGTAGAGTGTCCCTTCAGGCCTCCTTCCCTGATAGGTAGAGCAAAGGCCCTCCCAATTTCAGCAAATGTCTTTTTCCAAGTCTCTCCTGACCTCAGGCACCTTCTTGCCTGCCAATCTCCTTGCCTTCTATTTTTTTTCCTTCTTGCTTACCTTCTGTTCCAGGCATTCCTGCTTCCTTTCCTACCTTTCTTTCTTTCTCTTCCCTTCCCTCTTGCCTTCTTTCCTTCCCTCCTTCCCCAAACTGCAATAAATATCTACAGTGCCATGCAAACCATTTTAATGCAGCCTTCCTAATGCCAAGACCCCTTAATACAGTTCCTCATGTTGTAGTGATCCCCAAACGTAAAATTATTTTCGTTGCTACTTCATAACTGTAATTTTGCTCCTGGTATGAATTGTCATCTAAATATCTGATATGCAAGGCGTATTTTCGTTCACTGGACCAAATCTGGACCAAATACCCAATACGCCCAAATTTGAAGACTGGTGGGGTTGTTTTTGTCATTTGGGAGTTGTAGTTGCTGGGATTTATAGTTCACTTATGCCCAAAGACCATTCTGAATTCCACCGATGATGGAATTGAACCAAACTTGGCACACAGAACTCCCATGGCCAACAGAAAATACTGGAAGGGTTTGGTGGCCATTGACCTTGAGTTTGGGAACTGTAGTTCACCTACATTCAGAGAGCACTGTGGACTCAAACGTTGATGGATCTGGACCAAACTTGGCACAATATGCCCAAATGTGAACACTGGTGGAGTTTAGGGAAAATAGACCTTGATATTTGGGAGTTGTAGTTGCTGGGATTTATAGTTCACCTACAATCAAGAGCAGTCTGAATCCGACTGATGATAGAATTGGGCCTAACTTCCCACGCAGAACCCCTATGACCAATAGAAAATACTGTGTTTTCTGATGGTCTTTAGCAGGGGTCCTCACACTTAGGACCGGGGGTAGGATCCGGGCCCCCAAGGTCATTTACCCGGCCCTCACTCAGGGTCAACTTAAGTCTGAAACGACACCAAATCACACAACAACAATCCTATCTCATCAGTCAAAAGCAGGCCCACACTTTGCATTGAAGTACTAATAAGTTTATATTTGTTAATATAAATAGAAATACCAGCTGCTCTTCTAACCCCTCGTTTTCTTTCGGTAACACTTTGAGCGTAATTGTAGTTTGCTTAGATGATGATTTTTTTATGTTTTTCATTTTAATTATATTGTTTTTAAGTGTTTTTTGCACTACAAATAAGATATGTGCAGTGTGCATAGGAATTCATTCATTTTTTTTCAAAGTATAATATGGCTCTCCAGCAGGACTGTGACCTGGCCATCTGTTTAAAAAGTTTGAGGACCCCTGGTCCTTAGCAACCCCTCTGATACCCCACTTGCGACCCCAAAGGGGTCCCAACCCTCAGATTGAGAAACGCTGCCTTAAGGAGATCAGCCAGCCACTGATGGAACACGTGAAAGGGAGCCTGTGGACCTGAAAAGGCTGCTTCACACAATGGGCACCAAGCAATCATTGACCAGTTGGCTCCAACAGTGAGGGCCAAGCAGAGGCGGCCCTAGGTAATTTTCAACGGTAAGCAAACAGTATTTTGGCACCCCCCCCCCCCCCCAACCAATCACTGATATATATTTTCTGTTCGTCGTGGGAGTTCTGTGTGCCATATTTGGTTCAATTCCATCATTGGTGGAGTTCAGAATGCTCTTTGATTGTAGGTGAACTATACATCCCAGTAACTACAACTCGCATATGTCAAGGTCTATTTTCCCCCAAGAGCACCCCTGGGCAAAATCAACTATACTGCAAATGCTTACTTTGTGTAATGTGTTGAGTTGCCCCTGGGGCCAAGAGCCCGGTCATCAAGGGCTGCTCTGTGCCCAAAGGCACCCGCATCCTGCACAGAACTCAGGCGGAAACAGCAATCTCTTTCTTAGGCACACAACACACTTTCCTTCCTGCCTCCCTCCTCCTACAATACATTTTGGCACAACTCTGGGTTCACAACCGCAGCCCCACTCCATCCCATGCTGTTCCTACACTCCTCCATCGGCCTTCTCAATACAATCAGTGCTTCTTGCCCAACAAGGACACAGCCGAGGATCTCTGTGTCCGAGAATATCACTTTAGGACGGGACTGATTTGCAAAAAAAGAGGACTTCCTAGTCCTTCTCACATAGAACAGCATAAAGCTCCCCAAGTACATGCAAGTGCTACTTCCTGAATCCAGACAAAACCCAAAAGAGGGCCACCATCCAAGGCTTCCTGCAACAAGGTTTGAGGCTCAAAAGCAATAGGCACAAGGAACATGCAAAGGAAACTATGCAAAACAGAGGCTGAGACTCAGGATGTCTCCCTTTGGTCGCTGGAGTAAGACCTTGCTTTTCTTCCTTCCGAGGCTCTGCCTTCTCTTTTGGATCTCAAAAATAGCCCTTGCCACCATTTTGGTCCTCCTGACCCTGGGATCATCAAGTTGGTAGAGACCGCATGGGCCATCTAGTCCCACCCCTTGCCATGCAGGAAAAGCACAATCTAAGCACTCCTGACAGATGGCCACACAGCCTCTGTTTAAAAGCTTCCAAGGAAGGAGCCTCCACACTCCGAGGCAGTGAATTCCACTGCTGAACAGCTCTTCTTACAGTCAGGAAGTTCTTCCTAATGTTTAGATGGAATCTCCTTTCCTGTCGTTTGAACACATTGCTCTAGATCCTAGTCTCCAGTGAAAGAGCGGAAAACAAGCCTGCTCCCTCTTCCTTATGACATCCTTTCACCTATTTATACATATCTCTCATGTCTCCTCTCAACCTTCTCTTTTGGAGGCTAAACAGACCCAGATCAATAAACCAGGAGAGAGGCTGCTTTTACCCTTTTTTCGAGGTCCCTGCAAGAAAGTGAGCCCCACTGTACACCTGGCACAGCACTGGCCCTTTGTTCTGCAGCCCTCCTTCCGGCCCCAAAGGCACTTTTGGTGAGTGATACGGGAAACATGGCTTCTTGAGACCCGAAGATGGGAGCTGACCAAGGGCCTGCCCTCAAGGCCCGGCTCCCAGCGAATAATCGGATGGCGAGGGCATCTGTCCCTTCCTTTCCCTTCCCTTCCCATGTCCATTGCTTCTCTTTTGGGAAGGCAGTCCTTCCCCCGAAGCCCTTCTTCTGCCGCAAGCCCCTCGGGGGACCCCACTAAGGCACTGAGGCGTCAAAGGGAGGGAGGGAGGGAAGAAGGAAGGAAGGATGGAGGAGGGATCGGCAAAGGCAGGAGTCGGTGCCGCTTTGTGGCTGGTGCTGCTGTCAACATCGCCCGCTACACCAGGAGGCCCATGCGGGTCACTTTGGCCGAAAGGAACGTGTGCATCACAAAGACAATGGGCTTCGGGCAGGAATGGAGCTCCAGCGCCTGAGGAGAGAGGAACAACAAGTCACAATCCAAGGCATTCCGAGCCAAGTCAGAGAAAAATCAGGTTTAAACCACCCTCAGATCAATGTGAGATTTTGGTCAAAGGATTAAGTCAGTATTTCTCAACCTTCCTAATGCCATGACCCCTTAACACAGTTCCTCATGTTGTGCTGACCCCCAATCATAACATTATTTTCGTTGCTACTTCAGAACTGGAATTTCACTGCTGATACGAATTGTAATGTAAATTTCTGATGGTCATTGACGACCCCACGCAACCCCCCCAGGGGTCCCGACCCCCAGGTTGAAAAATGTTGGACTTATTAAGAGAATTAGACAATAGAACAAGTACAGGCAAAATTTGGCCCTCCCTCCCTCCAAGGAAGAAACTCAGACAATGTCAGTGTGGTCTCCTCCTCTGGAGGTTTTTAAGCAGAGACTAGGTGGCCATCTGTTGGGAGGTATTGGATGGTGCCTTTTTGCCTTGCAGAAAGCGGTTGGGCTGGATGACACTCTTGAGTGGGGAGGGGTCTATAATAATAATAATGTCTTTGATTCTTCGTTACATTATTTTGTACTGTTTATTTTACTTGAATGTTTTATTTATTCTGTTGTGATGCTATTTTTGGTTGTTCTGTATTTTATTTTGCTGTAATGTATCTCCAGGCTTGGCCTCATGTAAGCTGCTCCAAGTCCCCTTTGGGGAAATGGTGGCGGGCTATAAATAAAGTTGTTGTTGTTATTATTAATATTATTATTATTATTATTATTAAGCAGAGGCTGGGTGGCCATTTGTTGGGAAGGCTTGAACAGTGTCTTCTTTCCTGGCAAAGACCAGGTGGCTTTTTGGGGCCCCTTCCCACTCTAGGACTCAATGTCCTTATTTCCCTCCAAGCTGGGCTGCACCCTCACCAGTTCTCCCTCCGGTCCCCCGAAATCCAGGTAGAGGTTCCTGAGGCCATCGTCTGCAGACATGCGCAGCTTCTCAAAGGGATACCGGAAGAGGATGCTGGAGCCCCCCGCCTCCTCCTTGGAAATGGTGAAGCCATTCTCGTAGTGGACCCTGAGGCGGACCTCCTGGTTGTTCCAGACGCAGCCTGGGAAGGGATGAAAATAAGGAGAGGGAATGAGCCAAAGGCAAAGGCAAAGGGCAGCCCTTGAGATGTTATTGCACTGTGGCCACACCGTCAGCACAACTAACGGACACTAGAGGGAGCTCGAGGTCCACCAAAAAGCTCTTTCCAAAGCCATGAAAAGCTAAAGCCTCCCACAAAACCAGGGCCAAGGAGAGATAGAACATGGCCCTATAGCCCGAAAAAACCCACAAGAACCTAGTGATTCCAGCCATGAAAGCTTTCGACAATACAGAGATAATAATAATAAACTTTATTTGTACCCCGCTCCATCTCCCCAATGGGGACTCAGTGTGGCTTACATGAGGCCAAGCCCAAAACAACAATTACATGAAATAAAACAAAACCAAAACTCAAATAATAAACAATAATAACGCAATTACATGTCTACCATGAGGCTGTACTGACCTAAGGACACCTCCTTGATGAGTTCTGCAGCTGTGTGGCAGCCTTGCACCAGGATGCGGGTCCAGGAGGAGAGGTCCCGGTGGGTCTCCACGCGGAAGACGTGCATCTCGATACCCTGCCGGGAGCCCGTCCGCGTAGCAAAGGTCAGCTCCGCGCCCAGGCAGGGCGACCGAGAGCCAGAATGGACCAGCCTGGAGGAAAGAAGTATTGGAAAATCCATAACTGGGCCAGAGTGAAGAGAGAGGGGGCCAGAAGACAGTTCCATCTTGTCTCTTGCATATGTCATCAGTTAGGGACCTCTCCCCCCTGTACCAACTGCTGCTCTGAGCCTGAGTGAAGAGAGAGGGGGCCAGGGGATAGTTCCAGCTTGTCTCTTGTGCTATTCTAATAATATGATGTAATGTAATATAATATAATATATTGTATATACATATAATATTTATAATATTATAAGGTAATGCAATTAATACTACTACTACTACTACTACTAATAATAATAATAATAATAATATGATATTATAATTATATATTTATATTACATGTAATATTTACTAATAATATTACAATATAATGGTATAATACAATATAGTAATAATGAATACTTATATTGTACTATGCTAATAATATATTGTGTGTGTGTGTGTGTGTGTGTATATATATATATATATATATATATATTGTAAGCCACTCTGAATCCCCTTCGGGGTGAGAAGGGCGGCATATAAATGTCGTAAATAAATAAATGCACCATAGGTAAAGGTAAAGGTAGTCCCCGACATTAAGTCCAGTCATGTCTGACTCTGGGGTGTGGTGCTCATCTCCATTTCTAAGCCAAAGAGCCAGCGTTGTCCGTAGACACCTCCAAGGTCATGTGGCCGGCATGACTGCATGGAGCGCCGTTACCTTCCCGCTGGAGCGGTACTTATTGATCTACTCACATTTGCATGTTTTCGAACTGCTAGGTTGGCACAAGCTAGGGCTGACAGCGGAAGCTCATGCCGCTCCCCGGAATCGAACCTGCGACCTTTCGATCAACAAGCTCAGCAGCTCAGTGCTTTAACCCACTGCGCCACCGGGGGCTCCAAATGCACCATAACCTTATTGAAAAGGTAAAAATGATGTCGCATCCATTTGGCAAATGTGAATCTCCATGAACATGTGGAGACCACCTTTTGAAATCCTCTAGTCAAGAAAAGCATGACCTTGTTAGAAGTGAACTCTGAACAAGTGATATTCGTAAGCATTAATGTAATGGCACACAGGTAACTCAACTGTTAAACTGAAGAACCATGTCTTTAAACTGCCAAGGATAAAGACATGCCACTACAAAAATATATTGGGTTAGCAGAGGATGGTAGTTGCCTTGAAGTTGCCCATCTCCTTTTTTAAAAAAATATGTACTCAAGAGACAAAAAGTAGTCTTCTTTAAAAACAACGTATCTTGTTTACTAACAAACTTCTTGTATATATTCAGCATTTTGTTGTTCATTCGTTCAGTCGTCTCCGACTCTTCGTGACCTCATGGACCAGCCCACGCCAGAGCTCCCTGTCGGCCGTTACCACCCCCAGCTCCCTCAAGGTCAGTCCAGTCACTTCAAGGATGCCATCCATCCATCTTGCTTTTGGTCGGCCCCTCTTCCTTTTGCCTTCCACTTTCCCCAGCATAATTGTCTTCTCTAGGCTTTCCTGTCTCCTCATGATGTGGCCAAAGTACTTCAACTTTGTCTCTAGTATCCTTCCCTCCAGTGAGCAGTCGGGCTCTATTTCCTGGAGGATGGACTGGTTGGATCTTCTCGCAGTCCAAGGCACTCTCAGAACTTTCCTCCAACACCACAGCTCAAAAGCATCGATCTTCCTTCGCTCAGCCTTCCCTAAGGTCCAGCTCTCACATCCGTAGGGTACTACAGGGAATACCATGGCTTTGACTAGGCGGATCTTTGTTGCCAGTCTGATGTCTCTACTCTTTACTATTTTATCGAGACTGGACATTGCTCTCCTCCCAAGAAGTAAGCGTCTTCTGATTTCCTGGCTACAGTCTGCATCTGCAGTAATCTTTGCACCTAGAAATACAAAGTCTGTCACGGCCTCCACGGTTTCTCCCTCTATTTTCCAGTTGTCAATCATTCTTGTTGCCATAATCTTGGTTTTTTTGGACGTTTAGCTGCAACCCGGCTTTTGCGCTTTCTTCTTTCACCTTGATTAGAAGGCTCCTCAGCTCCTCCTCGCTTTCGGCCATCAGAGTGGTGTCATCTGCATATCTGAGGTTGTTAATGTTTCTTCCAGCAATTTTCACCCCCAGCTTTGCATTCATCCAGCCCCGCACATCGCATGATGTGTTCTGCATACAAGTTAAAAAGGTTGGGTGAGAGTATGCAGCCTTGCCGTACGCCTTTCCCAATCTTGAACCAGTCTGTTGTTCCGTGGTCAGTTCTGACTGTTGCTACTTGGTCCTTGTACAGATTCCTCAGGAGAGAGACAAGGTGGCTTGGGATGCCCATCCCACTAAGAACTTGCCACAATTTATTATGATCCACACAGTCAAAGGCTTTAGAATAGTCAATGAAGCATAGTAGTCCATAATCCAATGTCTTTATGCATATAGATATAGTCCAAACTGTATAACTCTACTCACTTAAGTTTGAAAGGAGACAATCTGCAATCCACCTTCATTGAGGTCTAAAAGCATGCTATACTAAAGTCCAAACAGCAATATGCATCCACCTCCACTGAATACAAAATAGAGTCCTGAGCCTGAAGCCCCTCCCACACCAAAGAGAGACAGTCGAACTGGCAAACCAAAATGTACATACAAAATGCCTTCATCAGGAAGTGGGCATGGGCGGAAGGGGGCTGGAGGGACCCCTGAGCCATCCATTTAAACTAGTGGTCCCTAATCTTTGAACCTCCAGGCATTTGGGACTTCAGCTCCCACAATTCCTAACAGATGGTGAGCTGGCTGGGATTTCTGGGAGTTGGAAGTCCAAAAGATCTGGTTGGAACCACTGCTCTCAATGGAGCTCCAGGAAGGAAACACCCTCCCTCAGGGCTAGTTGCATTGGCTTTGGTGGAGTCATGCTTTCCAGGCATCCTCTTCTTGGCCATTGCAGAAGTACACGTTGTCCTGCAGAGGCTACAATCCGGCTCCTCAAACGGTCTGGGGCATAAATCCAGAAACCCACCCTATGGATTTTAGCCAGGAGTTGTGTAAATTGGAAAAAACACAGGAACCCAGAGATGAAGAGGAGGAGGGGGACTAAGACACTTTAACTATTTGGAATGCTGGCTACTCCCACTTGTACAATATGGCTGTCATGTTACATTTCAAATGAGTGCCAGCCATTTTTAATGTAACTGTATTTTAAATTGCTTGTAGGATATTTGTTGTGATGTTTACTTATGTTTTAGTTAACTGTGTCTTATTGGATTGTTTTGTTTTATTTTAAATCACAATGTTTAATTTTTTGTTGTAAGCTCACTGTTATTACTGTTGTTTTATTGTGTATTATTTTGATATGTTGTACTCACCTGAGGCATTGAATGCTTGCCTTTTTGTGTGTGTAAACCGCCCTGAGTTCCTTCGGGGGGAGAGGGCGGTCTAGAAATATTATTATTATTATTATTATTATTATTATACTGTATTATTATATATTTGATTATTATGTTTTAATTAATATTGGTCTGGTGCTTTAACGGGTCTGTCTTGCAACAATTAGTTGTTAAGTCATAAGTTGTTTTTATATGTTAGGTTGCCAAATTTCATTACTATGACTAAGATCTTCTGGGGAGGCTCTGCTCTCAGTCCCACCACCGTCACAGGCGCGTTTGGTGGGGACGAGAGTCAGGGCCGTCTCAATGATTGCTCCCCTGCTATGGAACTCCCTTCATGGCAATATTAGATCAGCCCCCTTCCTCCTGTCCTGAGATGGTTTTTAAGCAACTGATTTTAAATTGGATATAAGTTATTTTAATGTTTGTATATATTTATGGTTGAATGTTTGCCGTATATATGTTGTGCTCTGCCCTGAGTCCCCTGTGGGGTGAGAAGGGAGGAATATAAATGTTTCAAATAAATAAAGAAAGAATGTATTGTTGTGTTCAGGCAATGAATGTTTTGAATCCGCCCTGAGTGGGGAGATAGGGCGGAATATAAAGTTTTAAAACTCCTCTTCTTTTTATTATTACTACATTATTATTATTATTATTATTATTATTATTATTATTATTATTATTATTATTATTATTATTGCCTAGTCTGAGAGCTGAGAGGGGACAGGTGGGGAAGGAGGTGAGCGGTGACACCGCTCTGGCCAAGAGTCCCTTTTTTTGGGATGGATTTTGGCAGAAGAGAGAGACCTGGGAGGGACCCTAATTGACTCCAGCTGTTCCGGGGTCCTCTCCTGCCCTCCCTTAGTCTCTCCCTCCCTCCTTCCCAGATGTCCTGCCAAGAGCCCCACCTCTTTGGGCCACAAAGGGCAGGAGAAGCCTAGGGAGGGGTGCAAATGCAGGCAGGGCTGCTGCTGTCCAAGGAGGACGCATTTGCCAAACTGGGGAGGCTGCAGAGTGAGCGACTCTCGCTCAAATCTGCGGCAGGACCACAGAGGGGTCATGGCCACCCCACCCAGCCACAGAAGTCCAAGCATGTTTGGTGGACGACTGCCAGGAGCCTCCGTGAACCTTCCCCCTCCTATACCCCTTAAACACATATGGCTTTTGCAGTGTAAAATGGAACGGGGCAGGCTTCCATCATGAAGCCCACTAGAGTCAGAGGACCAAGAGGAGCCAAATCCCAGCTGAAAAATAACTTTAAGCCCACCCCAGAAACTAGGAAGGGGGGGAGTCAAAGCAGGACAACTGGGTGCCTGTCCTGCAGTTATTTTATATATATACTAGCCGCCTCCTGCCACGTGTTGCTGTGGCCCACTCTGGTGGTCATGGGGGTTCTGTGTGGGAGGTTTGGCCCAATTCTATCGTTGGTGGGGTTCAGAATGCTCTATGATTGTACATAAACGACAAATCCCAGAAACTACAACTCCCAAATGTCAAAATCAATTTTTTTGAGTGAAGGACATACACTGGACTGTTAGGTGTCTTGTGTCCAAATTTGGTGTCAATTCGTCCAGTGGTTTCTAAGTTCTGTGAATACCACAAACGAACATTACATTTTTATTTATATAGATATATGTATGTATGTATGTATGTATGTATATGTATAAAAAGTCTTATGAAGGTCATGGGATTTACATCCACTGATCTCGGCTTCCTGGGGGACTCCTACTTCAGGGCTGTGTAACACCAACTCAATCAAGGCCAGGGAGAGACTGGAATGTGGCACCAAGAGAGAGGTCTGGTGAGCCATGCAGCGCAAACAGCAAGGAAGCAGATGCCAGTGAAGCATCTTGGGTGCCTGGCTGGGCCTCCTTCTTGGCCAAAGGACTCCATCCAGGGAAACACCTCTGGACTGAGGTGTCGTAAAAGACCCTCCCCTCCTTCCACAGGGAAGCATTTTGAGTGGGAGTGGAATTGTGCAGGAAACCAGCAGTGATCCATCTCTCCACCAATCCCTCCCAACACGCACCTGATGCACCTCAAACGCAGATGAGGTGGAAAAGGCAGCGGGGTCCTTTTGAAGTGCTGTTTTCAAGGGCCCCACTGCTCACAGGCTCCCCCCACATGCACCCTTCTGGTTCACCCCGAATAGCCCCTGCCTTCCTGCTTACCTGGTGGCGATGAGGGGGTAACTGTGGCAGGGGGAGGCCCAGGCGTCCCTCGTCCAGGGCATGCTGTCGTAAAGCAGCAAGTCCTTCTCCGTCACGGCCAGGATGACTGGCCGCCACTGCTGCCGGCCCCCATCCAGTCGGGCCTGAGGAAGCCAAAAGGAAGGACACAGAGTTGGACTGCTGTCCTCGCAAGCAGACAAGGGTCTTGGCAAGCAAAAGAAAAGGATAATATGGAGGCACAGGGCAACGCTGCCTGAAAACACAGCTTTTTAGGGGCTGGGGGGAGGGGTGTAATTTGGTCTGTCTAAAGAGAGAGTCATATCAGAAATATTAAAAATTAACTGAGTATTTTTGTGAGTGTGAGTGAAGCACTGAAAGAGTTAGTAAGCCAGAGCCTATCAGAGTGAGTGGGACAAAGCTAGTGTTGTCCTGAGGAGAGTGAGTAGGCCAAAATCAGTTAAAATCAGTGGGCCAAAGCTAATGTCATCCTGAGGAATGTGAGGTAAACCTCTGTGTGAGAGAAGTCTCATGTGAAGAAGCCTCACGTTACAGGCCTCGTGTGTAAAGCTGTGTGTAAAGATACTATGTGAACTCCTGTGTAATTTCGTTGAGAGGAGGTTCTGAGAGAGCAAAGCTGCTTATCTGCATAAGGAAGAAGCCCAGCGTAGAAGCAAAGAAGGAAGTAGAAAGCACTTTATTTGTGTTGTGGAAACCTTGCTCTTGTAAATAGTGCAACCATATTATTTTACTACAAAAAAAGTCTCCTAAGGAAGATAATACATTGGTCTGTGTGTTTTTGTTCTTTTTTATCACTTGGGCTCCTGGTGCTGGGTTACGCCGCTGTTAATAAGTTACTCTGCTGTGCGTTTATAAGGAACTTCAGGAAAGCTTGTTGTTGCTTTCCTTGGGATGAGAGCCTGGAAGACATAGGCTCTGCAGTCCCAAGGGTGTCCCAACACCACCCTGGACATGGAATGACCCTCAGATCACAATATGTTGCCCTGCCCTCTTAAATTTTGAGTCTTTTTGGAGTGCTTTACGCCCTCTTTCTTTGTGCGTGTTTTTAAAACAACGAATTAAAAAAACGAAGTGACTTGTATAAGGGGCGAGACTTGAGGAGTTACTCAACTAAGAAGAACAATTAACACAAGGGATGCATGGGTCTGTTTTAATACCAGGGTCCTGAATATCTCCCTGCCACACTTTTTGGAATGCTCCAAAAACGCACACCTGGGGCCCAGAGGGGTGGGGATCTGCCTCCTATTGTTCCCTCCTCTGTGGAAATCTGAAGCCCAAAAAATTGGGCCTCCTTCCTTTGTCCTTCCTTCCCCAGCTTCTATTGGGGAGGCCATTTGCCTGGCAGAAGGAGGTTGGATTGGATACCCTTGGAGCCTCTTCTAACTCTATGATTCAGTTTGGAGATACTTTGGGAGGGATCGTACTGCCACAGAAATGTCATGGCTCGCTGGACACATTTGTGCGAGAGCCAGGCGCACTTCCTGTACCCGGCAGCAGCAGGAAAAGGGTGCGGTGCCAGACTTGACCTGCTGTGGCATCGACTTGTCTAGGCAACCATCCACGGCAGATGCACACATTGGGATGAAAATTTAGGGCTGCAATGGTGAGGTGTGTGAGGACCAAAAGGAAGCTTGAAAGGGAAAGGAAGGAATGGGATTTAAAAGAGGAGTGAGAGAGCATGGGTATCAACAGTAATCCAGATCAATTGGTTCTCTGTCTAGCTCCCTTGCCCACCTCCCATGCAGTTCAGTCTGTGATGTGTAGACACACAGCAACATACCGCTTCCACCTTGGGTGGGCCACAGATGGCCTGCATGAGTACCCCAAAATCTGCCCAATTTAGTGGGATTAAAATTGGGATAATATTGTGCTCCAGGAAGTTCAAATTTCCTTTCTACCAAAGCAAACACCCCACTTTCGTTTTGTTGTCGTTTTCAGTAACATGGGGATTTATTTTGATCTAGGCACTGCATGGACTATATCTTTCATTATGCTAGTTACTAGAAATAGTCATAGTTTGGTTTTGGATTATGCACTAGGGAAAAGGTAAAGGTTTCCTCTTGACATTAAGTCCAGTCGTGTCCAACTCTGGTTGGTGCTCATCTCCATTTCTAAGCTGAAGAGCCGGCGTTGTCAGTAGACACCTCCAAAGTCATGTGGCCGGCATGATTGCATGGAGCACCGTTATCTTCCCGCTGGAGTGGTACCTATTGATCTACTCACATTTGCATGATCTACTCACATTTGCTATGTTGGCAGAAACTGAGACTTACAGCAGGAGCTCACACCGCTCTCTGGATTAGAACCTGCAACCTTTCAGTTAGCAAGTTCAGCAGCTCAGCGGTTTAACCCACTGTGTCATCGGGGGCTCCTGGATTATGCACTAAATTATGCACTAGAAGAGGTATAATAGGACAATTTTTAAAATCACACAGAGGATGGCGATATCCTCTACTAAAGAGTGACCAATATTGTCAACAATATCTTCAAGACTTAACGTCTGTAGCCTTTAGAAAAGCATTTACAGCCCTGCGCTTCCAAACAATGCCTTCAGGCTGGCGGGAAGATATAGAGGGATCCCTCATGCCCAACAACTTTGTATTTGTGGGTCTGGGGAAGGAGAGAATACACTATCTGTTACATTACCCTTTGTATAATGTATCAGAGTTATCCTGACATAATGAACCTAGAAACAATCTTCTGGGAGTCCTTTCGGAAGAAAGGGCAGCATGGTATTTTGATGCTAAATTCATAAATACAGTAATTACTACATAACGTTACCGTGTACTGAACTGCTTTTTCTGCCTATTTGTTGCAAAACATGATTTTTAGGTGCTTAATTTGTAAAATGATAACTTAATTTGACATTTAATAGGCTTTTCCTTAATTCCTCCATATTATCCAACATTTTTGCCTATCCAACGTTCTGCTGGCCTGTTTATGTCGGATAAGTGAGACTCTACTGTATATGTGCTAAGTTTGGTCCACATCCATTCTCATTGTCATTTTCAGGAACATAGGGGTTTATTTTATACTTAGATGGCAGACCTTTGATTGTGTGGCCAGGCCAAGCTTTTTAAGGTGTAAGGAAGTCCCAGTAAATTTGTTTTCTTGTTTTTATTTTCAGGATTTCAGACGGCAGGCCTCCTGCCTTGGATCGTGTGGCCATGCCATGCCAAGGCTGATTCCTAAAAGAGGGCTAATGTCCCAGTAAAGCTGCTAATGTCCCAGTAAAGCTGTTTGCAGGCCTCTCACCTGTTTGGCCAGCCAGGCGATGTGCTTGACCTCCTTGCTGCTCCCGGGGCTGTTGCTGGCCGCCAGCATGGCATTGAGCTCTGCCAGGACCTGTGGCAGGAGGGCCGTCAGGTTGGCCTGAATGGCCGTGAACCAGGCCTGTGCTGTGGCCGGATCCTTGCACCGCATAATCAGGGTGTTGCGGCCATCTGGGGAGTGCAGCTCGATCAGCCTGTGGAGCAAAATGGAGAGGATGCTGATCAGAAGAACTGTAGGAACACTCTGGATCTATAGCTTCAGTTTGTGAGACTCTGCCTGGCATTCTTTGCAATGCTCTTGGTGCCCAGGCCCATCCCACTATGCACGCCTGGCTTTGCCAACCAACATCGGAGGGCACCACGCATTTCCTCCTTCATTGGGCAGCAACCGGGGAAGACAAAATCCACATTGATGTGCTTCCCCTCTGGATGTTTGTGACTCTGAAAAGCCGTAATAAACAATGATCCACTGACAGTACTTGCCATGAGACAACTAACTGGGCAGCTGTTGTTTTTGGAACACAGCTCCTATCATCCCTCACTGCTTATTACCAACGCTGTGGTTTTTTTGCTGCTGAAAGGGTGGGTAAAGGCTTTCATGCTTCTGCACAAACCAAAGGGGACATTTCTGTCAGAAATATTAAAAATTAACGAAGTATTTTTAATTACAAAATGTGAGTCAAGTGCTGAGAGGGTTAAACGGATGCAATGATTCAGCAGTTCAATATAAGCAGGTGTGCCTGTAGCTTAGTAGCCCTCAGTCTGTGAGAGGTCTCTGTGGGAGAAAGGCCTCAGTATGTTAGCAGGCCTCAGGATGAGAAGGCCTCAGTGTGTGTGAAGCAGCTTTGGTGAGAGAAGCCCCAGGTTGAAGACCTTGTGTGTGAAGTTCCGGTGTAAAGGCTGCTGTGTGTCAAAAACTACTGTGTGAAGCTCCTGTGTAAGTTCGGTGTGAGAGAAAGCTCAGTGAGAGCAAAGCTGTTTATCTGCATGAGAAAGAAGCCCAGCATGGAAGCAAAGAAGGAGATATAAAGAACTTTATTTGTGTTATGGGAACCTTGTTCTTGTAAATAGTGCAATCATATTTTTTTACTTCAATGAAAATCCTCCTAAGGAAGATACAGCATTGGTCTGTGTGTTTTTGTTATTTTTATCACTTTGGGCTACTAGTGCTGGGTCACGCTGCTGCTAATCTGCTGTGCATTTATGAGGAGGGTCTTTTGTTAATAATCCCACTCGTCCAACAATTTCTGATCAGAAAGGACTTGCAGCATAGCATTGAGGACTTGCAGAATTTCTGCAATAACTTAAGGCTGCGGTTATCCCCCAACTTCTTTCACTTCCTTTGCCGTCTCTCTTGGCCAAAGCGCTTCCAAGCCAAGTCACTGATCAAGCAAAACTTTCACCAGGATGATCCCTTGCATATTGAACATCTAGCCATACAAAGGCTGAGTCTCTTAGCGCTATCCTCCTCCTCATCCCCCCCCCCCCCCAGTGATCTCTTGTTGGGATTGATTGGATCAAGGCAAACCACACACACACACACACACACACACACACGGCAACACCAAGGTAAAGCCTTCCATGGGGATTATGCATCTGCTAATCCCCTGACACACGATGGAAGGGAGGCAGCGGTATCTTCCTGCTGCTCTTTGACCTGGGTTTGGGAACCTTTCCCTGAACAAGCCAGGCAAAGGCCAGAGGCCAATGCAAATATGCAAAATTCAGTGCTGGGTGTATAGTTGTTATTAACTATTATTATTGACTACAAGCCTTTCCTTGTGCACATATTCAGGGTCCGGCAGGTTTGTTTTAGAGTTCCAACATACTTCGGGTGACAGTGTGCAAAGAGCTGGAGAGACAATCTTGCAAAGGGGGGCCACCTCACCTGAAAGCCAGCCAGATCAACCCTTCACATTCACTGCCAGCATTATGGAGTGCCTGCCCACTAAACAACCACAAGGAAAACTGTGGTGACTGTGTCCCTCCAAAGCTGGAGCCATGTAGCTGAGATGACTTCTGAGAGCCATAAGGAGCCCCTGCTCCGACCACCAACTAGCTAAGTCCTGACGCTGCCTGGCAAGAAAGGAAGCCTCCTCTTGGCACTTGAGCTTCTAAGCCGGCCTCTCAGATCACAGCAAGGTGAGCCTGAAGCACTCGCAGCAGGCAGCCAGGGTTTCAAGGAAGCAGTCTGTCAGGGCAGTGGCTCCTGCTTTTGGTGTTAAATGTGGGCCAGGGCTATAAGCTGAGGCTGTTGCTCCAAGAATCTGAGCCCTGGGGCCCCTAAACATTCACGGGTTGCTTGATCTTTTCTTTCTGAAGGGCCTCAAGGCAGTTGCAGTAAGAAAGCTGCAAAGGCAGCCCTGAGAACAGAGGGATGCTGGCCACAAGCCCTATAAGGCCCTAACGTTTCTTGGGAGGATTGACAACTTAAGGAGGGATTGAGCCAGGAGCCTGAAGCCCCCCCCCCCCCCCTCTTCTCTTGTTCCTGTTTGAGTGAAACTCGACACCCGGGAAGGAACTGGGGATGATAAGCAGACACTTCCTCTCCATCTGTATGTGGCCTGGGCCCAAAGTTCATCTCCCTCCCAGGAAGGGAGCCAGGACAGGATTAAGTGTGCATCCTGGGCCATCCAAGGGAGCACAGACTGGCTCTGCAATAAGAAAAGGGGAAGGAGGTCAGGACTGTTATGGAACGAAGGAAGGGCAGCACAGGGCCAGGATCTAGTCCTCAGAGTCTGTTTATTTCCCTTGCACCTGACTTGCAGAGCTAGCCAAGATGTCACTGCAGACAGGGGAGGATTAGGAGCAGAATTCGGAAGGAAGGTTGTCCTTCCTCTCAACTTTACTCTCAAGGGAACAATCCGGCCTGCAGCCTGTCCCTATGGCAGACTTCTCTGGGGAGTGAAAAGGCAACACAGGGGGGTACCGCTTTCTCTTCCCCTGTAGAAAAACAGAATCAACACACACAAAAAGAATTCCCAGAAAGAACCTAGCAAGATTCAACCTGAAGGCCCCCAACATGTCAACCCTCAGTTGATAACCCACCATCCTAGCTTTGCAAATCCACACAGGGATGTTCGTCTTGGGAGAGGGGGGAAGGAATGGCTCAGACCAGCTGGGCAGAGCGCGATGCTAAGAAAAGTGGACTGTTCACCTGGGAAAGGCCTCATCTGGCCTGGCTGCTCACTGAAAATAGTGTCTGGTTCCCCCCAGTCCTGAGACCGTAGCTACTCCTCAGAGTAAAGAATATAACCCCCTGTGCTGCTGCTAGAGGATGCCTCATGTCAGAAAGATTAAAAATTAACTAAAAATTAAACTGAAAAACAAACTGGGTATTTTTAATTACAAAAATGTCAAGCACTGAAAGAGTGAGTAGGCTGAAGACTGTTAAAGTTAGTGGGCCAAAGCTAGCGTCGCCTGAGGAGAGTGATTAGGCTGAAGCCTGTTAGTTTGCCCCAGTGAGGGAACTCCTCAGTCAGTGTGAGGAGGCTTCTGTGTGAGGTAGGCTTCACCGTATGAGGAAGGCCTGGTATGAGAGAAGCCTCGTGTGTAAAGCTCCAGTATAAAGGCTGTTTACTGTTTTAATGTCAGTGCAATGTAGTCCACACTAGGCATACATATTCAGCAGCAGAGTAGCAAAGCACAAGGGCAGATGTCTTCACTGTATCTGGTTGGGATCCCCAGGTTGTGCCAATCAACTTCCGTACAATATTGTTTCTAGCATCCACCTTTTGCTTGATATTCAAGCAGTGAATTACAAAAGTGTGAATCAAGCACTGAAAGAGTTAGTAGGCCGAAGCCTGTTAGAGTTAGTGGGTCAAAGCTAGTGTCGTCCTGAGGAGTGCGAGGTAAACCTCAGTGTGAGAGAAGCCTCGTGTGAGAGAAGCCTTGTGTGAGAAAGCTCCAGTGTGAAGGCTGCTGTGTGTAAAGCTACTGTGTATTTGTTTATTTGTGCCATGGAAACCTTTTTCTTGTAAATAGTGCAACCATATTATTTTACTACAAAGAAAAGCCTCCCTCCCATGGAAGATATAACATTGATCTATGTGTTTTTGTTCTTTTTATCACTTTGGGCTACTGGTGCTGGGTCACGCTGCTGGTAATAAGTTACTTTCCTATACATTTATGGGGAGGGTCTTTTGTTAATAAGCCCACTCGCCCAACACCTCGCTCCCTCCCCACCTTTGACTGACTGCTGCCCCCCGGCGCACCTGTTCTCCATGTCCGGCATGCTCAGGTTTCGCGTGGCATAGCACATCTTCAAGGGGATCACCTTGCGGTCCTTGGCAGGGCTGTGCTTTGGGGAGCCAGAGTCTTCACTGCCACTGAGGCTGGGCGACTGCGGAGGGGCTCCATCCCAGGGCAGGTCCGATACGATTGAGGGCTTCTTGATGTATGGGGTGGCCTCCCGCATGTACTTCACTGGGAGCAAGAGAAGAAACACAAGGGAAGCGGGGGGGAGGGGGGGGTTAGCAGGCATTTTCACGTTGGGCTCCCTCAGTGCACCACAATGCCCATGTAGGAGAGATAGGAAGAGGGTGCTCGCCTCCTGCCAGTAACCGGCGCTTGGCCAACAGAGGAGTCAATTTCCTCTGACTGTTTGGCCCACAAGTTTCTCTGCTGCCCAAAGGAAAGTATGGAATGTGTTTATTCAACAGGAAAAAGGTTTGCTGGTGGAACAGGATGAGTCACGGGAGAGCTTCTCCTCTAGCTGGCTCTGAGAAAGGCCTTTGGCTCAACCAAGCCCCAAGATACCCCAAACCTCCCCACTGCAACCCTTAGCAGTCCAAAGGAGGTGCAGACAGGGAGACTAGAAACTAGATTTAGAATCATAGAACCACTGAGTTGGAAGAGACCTCGTGGGCCATCCAGTCCAATCCTCTGCCAAGAAGCAGGAAAATTACATTGAAAATGCCATCCAGCCTCTGTTTAAAAGCCTCCAAAAGAGGGAGCCTTCACCACACTCTGAGGCAGAGAGTTCCACTGCTGAACAGCTTGCACAGTCAGGAAATCCTTCCTAATAATGTTCAGGTGGAATCTCCTTTCCCGTCATTTGAAGCCATCCAAGTCTCCAGGGCAGCAGAAAACAAGCTCCCTCCCTCCTCCATATGATTCCCCCCCACCTATTGATACATGGCCCTCATCATGTCTTGAAGCCACTCCTCATAAGGCTTGTTCTACAGACCTTTGATCATTTTAGTTACCCTTTTCTGGACACATTCCAGCTTGTCAACCTCTTCCTTCAACTGCAGTGCCCAGAATTAGACACAGTGTCATTCCAGGTGTGGTCTGGCCAAGGCAAAATAGAGGAGTAGCAGGACTTCCATGGATCTAGACACTAGACTCGTATTGATGCAGGCCAAAATCCCATTGCTATTTTTTTTTTTTGCTGCTACTTGACATTGTTGGCTCATGTTTTAACTTGTTGTCCATGAGGACTCCAAGATCTTTTTCACGCGTACCGCTGTCGAGCCAGTCGTCTCCCATTCTGTATCATGGGCCAAAAGGAACACTTTCCCAATATTTGGCATGAAAACATACCATGGCAGTTTTCAAAATGCTTCAAATAGAGTTAGAAGACTCTGCATTTATCATCCTCTCAGATGCTTTGAAGAGAGGATTTGGAAATGTTCCTTCTGGGATCAGTTTCCAGAATACTCTGAGCCAGCCTGCCCATTGTGGGTGGAAGCAGAAGGGAAGAGCCTCTAACTCTACTGAAAAACTGGCTTGTTATGTTTGGATGGCAACTGTCCGCCCCCCCCCCCCCAAAAAAAAAACAAAACAAAAAAAAAACACTGGAAGGAAAAAAGCAACATGAATCCAAAACTAGACTTTTAGAAGATGTACATATCCTTCTTCAAGGATCTGAGAGAGGCACTGTTTCAGCATCAAACATGCATGGGATGGGATGACCCTGCCTGTTGCACTCCAGGTCCAGAGGAAGTCCTCTGACTTAAAACACACCATATGAAGAGTGAAGAATCAAACCTTCTTTTATTAAAGCTTAGTAAATAGCCATAAGAAATAAATGCTTGTAAGAAAAGCAGAAGGTTCCAAAAGGTATTAGTCCATAAACCGTAGTAACTCAAAGCAATGTCCACACAAGAGATACAGGCAATCCAAGGCTGCATTAATCCAGACAGGAATCAAGAAGGATGCAAAGACAATTCATAAGGCTAAAAAACTCCACAGAAACAAGATCCCTTGAACAAGACTTCCATGGCACAAGAACTTGGTTTCCAAACGATGCCTGATCTGACAAGATTTTCTACAGGCAAACCTTAAATCCCTAAAACTGGTTTCGTTTCGTTGACTTTAATTGACAAATTATTTCGGATCTACGTAAACATTGGGCCTCTTGTCGATTCTGGCTAATCTCCAGCCGCCGACTCTGCTTATCTGACTCCTCATTAACTTTAGCAGGTGCCAGACTGTTTTCCAAACTAGAATCTGGAGAGCTCACAGACGGAGGGAGCAAACCTTTCTCCCAAGGCCTGACAGAAACATTCTCATGAGAATCTGCCCTTTGCACTGAAACCTCTCTGTCAGTGTCTGCATGAAACTCATTGACCAAAGTGTCTCCATCTTGTACCTCAGAGTCAGTCCCAGCATCCCCCATATCAGAAGCAACAGGGGACTTACTTCCCTCCTCATTACCCACTTCAGACACAGAAACATCAGGAGACTGAAACACATTCACAGGTTCAAGCACAGGCTCAGGTTCAAGCACAGGCTGGGTCCCAACACTTTCAGCCAAATGAGCCTCAAAAGCCACTCTCTGCACCTACTATATCACATTTGCACATGATGGCTTCCCAAGGAATAAAAAAGACCTGCCAGCAATGTTTCAGGCAAGAAGGGCAGGCAAGTCTACTGGCCAAAGAGAGAATGACGTGACCCCAAGAAAGAACCGATACATGAAATGGATGTAGAGCTCATGATGTAACTTAAATAGAAAAAGTTGAATAGAAAGTAATTTCTCAGACAAAACAGGCCAAGTTCAGGAATTCTGAATTATCTCCTGGCACAGGTGGCAACTCCAAAAAAACAACACTTCAATGCTTCTGGAAACACAGCACACCTAGAGTCCTTTCCTGGGTCTGCCAGCTTGGTAGGTCATCTGGTGCAACCTCCTTTGTTGTCTTAGCCTGCAAGTCCACCCAAACTTGGCAGACTGGTTGCAGGAGGCAAGCCAGAGGCCTCCCTGGGAGCCAAGGAAGAGAAGACCCCCCCCCCCCCCCGGCCCTGGAAGGTGCGCTGCTTGGCTCAAGGGGAGGAAGAAAGCTGTCCATCGAAAGCGCCGGCTTTGGGCTCTCAGGGGAGGATTACAGCAAACAGGCTTCGCGCTGCTAATCCCTGCTTGCAGAGGTGCCCTTTCCACCCTGAGAACAGGCTCAGAGGTCTGCCGGGCCTGGAAAGAAGAGGGAAAGGGACACAGCTCACTCCTGCCGCAGGGCTCTCGCCCAGCCCACTCCCAAAACACACCGGCCTCAAACTGGAGCCAAGGCACCTGGGCAATTGTTACAGCTTTGAGGCCACTTTCCCAGGACCAGCACACTTCTGTCAAGTGAGAGTGAGCAACACAATGTGCTGAAGTAGTCACTTTCAGGAGGAAAGCCTCCCCTTCCCCAACGGAAAATCCAAGCAAAGTTCAACAAGGCCGTGAGTCATCTGCTGTGAAGGAAACACGGAAAGGCTGAGCCGACATGGGCCTCGCTCAAGCGATCCACTCACTTGCCAAAAATGTTCCCTGAAGGGAGGGGGGCAGAGTCCCAATAAGAGACACAATCCTATGTCTGCTTACACCCAGTTCAAGCCAGGCTCCAGAATGGAAGTTGGGGGCAAATCCAGCACTGCTTTCCAGCCCCCTAAATCCCACTCTGGAGCATCTGCGGAGCCTGGCTTGAGTTGTGTGTAGGATTTCCTGGCTGAGAGAGGGAGGGGGAACAAACAGGCCAGAGAAAGGACAGCACAAACCATGGGTTGGAAAGTCAATTCTTTGCATGGCATTTAGTGGGTCATAAGCCAGTATGTACCTTTTCCCAAACAGACTATTTCTACTTGCTAACAGAAAGAAGAAAACCCGTCTCCATTATCTATAAACTGTCTAGGCAAGAGAAAGTGTACTGGGTTGCTGTGAGATTCTGGGCTGTATAGCCATGTTCCAGAAGCATTCTCCCATGACATTTCGCCTGCATCTGTGGCAGAGGTTGCGAGGTCTGTTGGAAACTAGGAAAAATGGGGTTTATACATCTGTGGAATGGCCAGGATGGGAGAAAGAATTCTTTTCTGTTTGAGGTAAGTGTGCATGTTGCAATTGGCCACCTAGCTTAGCATTTAATGGCCTAGCAGTTTCAAGGTCTGGCTTCTTACTCCAACTGAGAATGCCTGCCATAGACACAGGTGAAACGTCAGGAGAGAATGCTTCTGGAACATGGCAATTTAGCCCAGAAAACTCACAACAACCCAGTGATTCTGGCTATGAAAACCTTCGAGAACACAATAATAATATTCGACAATAGAAAGTGTACTGTTAGTAAATAAAAGTGCTCTGAGCTCTGCTGAGCATCCCCCTGAATGCTACAGGCACACACTCTGGCCAACCAAGGCCACATCCTGCCTCCCCTCCATCCATAAACAACATTTTCTGTTCACCTACAAAATGAGCCTGCAACAGGAAATGCCATCTCCCTTTTTCCTATGCAAATGTAAAGTGATCCCTGGGAAAGGATGAGCTCAAACACTTGGCATAGCCGGTATCAGCTTTCAGCCCAAATAGGTTTATGTTTCAGTGCCCAGAAATCCCCTGATGAAGGGAAGGAGGGAGGCGCGTCACCTCAGCCCCTCTGTTTGGCATATCTTGGGGCTATCCCAAATTCTTACCATATGAATGGCTGGATCCCAAGACATACCGGAAGGCTGCAGTGGATTAAAACACAGGGCCGCTCTTCATGGGAAGGACATATTCAGCCATCTCCCAGAAAATGAGGCTCTTTGCCATCTCACCTGGCGCGACCCAGGATCAGTGTCATTTCTCTACAAGAAAGAGTGGGGGTCTTCAAACAGGCAGTGCCCTGGATTGAACCCAGAACCTTCGAGGTGCAGGCTTTGCAAGTGTTAAGGACCCTCTATGTCTGTACCAGTAATAACAAAAATCTGACTATGCTATCAAGCATCCTTTTCAGCCCCTGGAGAAGATACCAAGCAATTTCTCCTTTTCCACTGCTACTCTCCTGGATCTGTGTCATCCAAGAGGCAGATGGTGTAGGACAAGTGGGCTTATTAATAAAGGACCCTCCCCATAAATGTACAGCAGAGTAACATTAGCAGCAGCATGACCCAGCACCAGTAGCCCAAAGTGATAAAAGGAACAGAAACACACAGACCAATGTTATCTCTTCCATAGGAGGCTTGTCCTTGTA